AACACGTTCTTTCGGTAATTCTGCCAATATAGGAAGATGATTTCTATACTTGGAACAAACTTGCTTTCGATTATCGATATTTTGCTCTTTATAGCTAGGGCATTATTTTTCGCAGTAATCGTTCAATTCTAAATTATCTATAAGAGAATCAATAACATTAATCATAAACAATTTTTTTTACACAGCAATTCAAGAATTTCAGTAAGGTAAATATATAATTCTTGATTTATCGCTTCTTGCATTTCTGATAGAATTCAGAAAGATTTTCATACTGTAACCTACTAAGGGAATTAGATACTCAGATAAATTAGTATATTGAATACGATTCTGAGACTCTATATTAAAGGCAACAAAACTGGTAATGATATGAAATATTACTGTATTAATTCCTTGATCAAGATAATTTTGTTGTTCCCTCTTTTCATTATCAAAAACTATAAACAGAAGTCCTTTAGGTAGAGGTTCTTCTTTTTTTGATAGTTCATCTAACCAGCTTTGAAAATGAGAATAACTTCCTGAGCATGTAATATAACTGTCAACATTAATAATAATTTTTAATCACGCAATAGAATACTTAATAGCTAATGCTACAAAATTCATTTCTGATACGTATTTTCTATGCCTAGACCTGTATATTAAATTAAAGACCATCACTCTTTTGTAAACTTTCTCAGCATTCAAGGAATCTGTATTAAGATTATTTTAGATTAATGTTTCAATAAACTTTACGATAATTTGATTACGTTTACTTAGCCATATTTGCGGAGTATAACTCAATAGATTTTCTAAGAAAAACCTATTATTATCTCTAATCAGAGATTCAATATTCTCATATAAAGATTCTCATTCAATTAGTGTGATATCAATAATTGCTTGTATACGCTTATACTGATCACAATACTGAGATTTATATTGCTCAACGAGCTTCTCATTCTTTTTGCATTGTTTTTTATATAGATCTCTTATTTAAGCTAACTCTTCGACATATTTGTATAGTCGCTTCTTCAATTCTGATATTTCGCGTTCTTAGTCCTTTATTTGCTGCTGTAATTTTACAACATTGTGATCCATTTGACTTTCTTCAAATAATTTCTCAGTACTTTCAAACTCTGTTGATAGGTATAGCTCATCATTGGGAATTATCTCTTCGTGAATATTAGGATCTAAAGTAGGGACAGGATTATTATCATAATCAGTATCAATTCAAAGTTTTTTGTTTACATGAGCAAGCGTAAGGTCATCTAAAAGCTGTTGATAAAAGTGTTTAGTAACTATAATTTGATTATAATATTTTTCACAAATCGAATAGGAGTTTAAAGAAGAATAAAGGTCTGCAAGTTCGGGTATAAAATCTTGATAAAGTATAAGTTGCTTAGCTGCTTCTTTGCCATTTCACAAGATTTTAAGCTCAGTATACTATAATTACTAACTAATTTGAAAAATATGCAGGGGAGATCTTTGGCTCTTAGTTTCTTTCTAGGCAGTAAAGGCTGTGACATTGTTTTTTGAATTCTAGTATGCTAAAATTTTAGAAGAAAAATAAAATCAATATATTAATTAAATCAATTTAATACAAATTTAATGAAAATTCAGGTCTCATTTACTTTTTCAAAGGGAGTTGATTATGGATAGAACTTGAATGATTATGAAACTAGAGGTTTTTTACTCTCTGTACACATGATTATTAGTTGTGGATCGACATTGTGAAAAGCCACAAATTTCAGTCGAAGAGAATAGATATGGGCCAATCAAAATCTAAGAATTTACCGCAGATCATTCTAGAATCGATGTCCATTTTTGGTAAAATCCCTGACTGTAATATAGAAAATCTGATTAATTTTCACTAGAAAATTTTGAAGTAACTAATGAAGAATTGAAAATTTTAAAGAGTATTAGACGTAAAGTATTGAGATATAAATTGGAATCTTCAATCCAATTAAATATAAATGAGTTTATTAGTTTCGATTAGATTTTTTTTTGTTCTCAAATTTTACAATAAAGAAACAATATAGCATACAATAAGCAAATAATAAATTGTAAAATTCGATATAATGGACTTTTATTTTTTTACTATTTAATAATAACGAATCAGATCACTAAAACAACAGGTTTGTTATATCAAGTTCTAACTGTATAATAATGATGATAATGAATCCATGCATAATATGATCTAAGTTCAAGCATCTACCTTTTAGAAGAATGATTCCAGGAGATACAATGTTTGCGGAAGGATTCGAGGTATACCGTAATGCAGTAGATAAAGATTATATCTCGAAAAAAAAAAAATTAGTATGATATAATGAACGGATATAAACAAGTCTTCATGACATTCAAGTTAATTTAAAGATCCGTAAATTTCTTATTCAATGTACTTTATTTTTTCCTATTGTGAAAAAAATAAATAAACTTTTTATTTCTTTTCTTCTCTTTTTCTCACGAGTTTTATTTATCAAGCTAAAAATGAGATAAAATTAAAAATTTGCAGGATTAAAAAATGTGCCTCCTTTCCTGTTTTGGAGGTATATTACAGTATAATTTTTAATTTTCTAAATTAAATTCATTTTAATTATCGATACATTAATTTTATTAATTTCTCTTTTTCACAAGCGTTTTCGGTCCCATTCTCGGTTCAATTATCGCGATTATTATTGGTACTTATTAAAGGTTAAAATTTTCTCCACATTGCAAATCGAACACAAATTAAACGAAAAAAATTTTTTCTTTTTTTTTAAAGCCTCCCCCCCGAAATTTATTTTAAATAAGTTATCACTGACCTTTATACAAATAAAATTTCTCTCACCTTTTCTCACTTTTTTTCCTTTCTTTTCTTCATTATTTGAATTACGATGATTTTCAAATCACAATTTCCAGACATTGAAATTCCTTTTCAAGGAATTTATCAATACGTTACAAGTTATCAAAGAGGAATTAAAGATGATAAATCGATCTTCATCGATGGTATAAGTGGTAAAAAATTAACTTATGGAGGATTAAAGAGTTCTTCCAAGAAATTTGCAGCTGGATTAATAGATAAAGCAGGATTTAAACGTGGCGACGTTTTAGCAATTTACTCTCCAAACCAGGTATGAAGGGATACGCAGTTTAATAATTGTAAGAACAAAAATTAAAAATCATTCATTATAACCTTTTAGATCGATTACTCGATTGTTTTGCTTGGAGCAATCGCGGCAGGAGGAAGAGTGTCGCCTGCTAATCCCATGTATACAATTGAAGAATTTACTCATCAATTAAAGGATTCGGGAGCAAAATATATTGCCGTGTTTCCACCATTTCTCTCAAACGCAATTAAAGCCGCAGCCGCAGCAAATATTCCTGAGTCAAATATATTTCTATTTGGCGATAAAGAAATTGATGGAGTCAAGCCTTATTCCTCCCTCATTTCTGAAAGAGAAGTTATTCCAGTTGAATATTCATCAGAAGAAGCAAAGTCAACTACGGCATACCTATGTTTTAGTTCTGGCACAACGGGAAGGAGTAAAGGAGTCGAAACAACTCATGCTAATATTGTCGCTAATGTACATCAAATTTATAATATTGATGATGATATGAATGATGAAGTTATTTACCTTGCCGCATTACCTTTCTTTCATATTTATGGATTATTGCTTTTCATCCATATAGCCATTTTTACGGGTGCGACAGTCATTGTGATGCCAAAATTTGATTTGACAACATTCTGCAGATTAATTCAAGATTATAAGGTTAATACAATTCCAATCGTACCTCCAATCATTGTATTATTAGTTAAAAATCCAATTGCAAGAAAATATGATTTATCAAGTTTAAAATTTTGTCTAAGTGGTGCTGCTCCTTTAAGCAAAGAATTAGCCGAAGAATTCACCAAAATATTTAATATACCAATTAAACAAGGTTATGGTTTAACTGAAACTCCTGTAACACATATTTCTAAAACTGATCTTGTCGTTCCTGGTTCTGTTGGAAGACTCGTTTCAAATATGGAATGCAAGTTCCTATCCGAAAAAGGAGAGGAACTTGGATATAATCAACCTGGTGAACTTTGTATTCGTGGTCCAACAGTTATGAAAGGTTACCTTAATAACAAAGCGGCCACTAATGCGTGTATTGATCCTGAAGGATGGTTCCATACCGGTGATATAGCAATGATCAATGAATTAGGTGAATGATGAATGATGTTACTACTCTGTCTTCGGTAATGTATTATATATTCTCAAATTTTTTTTTTTTTTGTCTCATAATAGGAAACTTTTATATCGTCGAACGTGTTAAAGAGTTGATCAAGTACAAGGTAAAAATCATACGTTTGATTTGGTTCATGTTTTACCTAATTATCATGTTAAAATTATTAAATTGTCCTCATAGGGTTTCCAAATTCCACCTGCCGAATTGGAATCAGTCTTGCTTACCCATCCATCAATCGCTGATGCTGCCGTAATTGGTGTTTACTCCAAGCAAGAAGCTACCGAATATCCGGCTGCTTACGTCGTATTACAACAAAATATTCATAAATCAGATCAAGTAAAAGAAGAAATTAAAGATTTTATTGCTCAAAAAGTTGCTCCTTTTAAGAAATTACGTGGTGGTGTTTTATTCATTGATCAAATTCCTAAAAGTGAATCTGGTAAAATTTTAAGAAGGTTATTAAGAGAAAGAATCAAGTCCGAACATCCTTTAAATCAGTTTCCTGCTCACAAGTTATGAGATATGATCAATCATATGATCCATAACTAGATTTTATTGCAAAGTTTTATCGTTACTCTGCTTGATTTTTTGTAGGTTTATGATAAAAAAAAAAAAGGAATTAACTAAATAAACAACGTTCTCGTTTATTCTATAATCAAATAAATAATTTTATTGTAAACGTCAAACGTATCTATGAATTCAAAATCTCTAACTTTTGTACAATAATAAAAGTAGAATAGATCCAACATAATTTAGTTGGTACCATTCTACGCGTATTAATATAATCTAATTGTTCAATTCTAATTAATATAGTACACTTAGAACTTTTGTTCAAGTGGTTGAATGATGTGTTTGGGAAAACGTACACTAAACATATAATTGTGTCGCCTGAAAAGAAAAATGAAATGGTTAGAATTTTTCAATAGTTAATTTTTGAAATAACAAAAAAAAAAAAAAAGTTCTTCAAGATATAAATACTTTTCTAGAATAATTTCCCATGTGTCAGGATTAATTCTAACAGGGGTTTGTCGAACTCGATCATCAAACATCACATGATAACCTCGTTCTGATAAAACATCCATAATCATATCCACAAGGTGCTGATTCTCTAAATCTTGTGAATTCCTAAAAGAATTATAAGTTTTAGTTTTTAAGAAACTTTTTTTTTTTTTCACAATTATATGAAAAGTCAATTCTTTTTTTACGCACGTTCGAACAAGTGTCTGCCCACTAATTGCATGCCTTTGAACCAAAGGAATAACATTTTCATCCACGAATTCTATAGCCTTTGAAAATGATTCTGGATCAGTTTCTTGATAATGTTCAAGCCGGCTGATCAAATCTTGCCTTGCATGTATACTAATCTTTGTTGCTAAAGGAATATGTGCAATTGCATCATATGTCTTATGATCTATAATAAAATTGAAAATTAAAATTAAATCGACCTTTATTGGAGAAAACACTATCGTTTTTTGAAAAATATAATCATACCAAGTTCTAACGAACTCTGATACTCAAATTCTTTTATAATCACTTGCATCACCTCCTCAATCGTTCCAACAGCGTTAATCAAATCTGAATTAATTTAATGAATTAAAGAATGAAAATTTCCTAAATTTAGGTTAGAACGAAACTTTTGGACTTACGAAAGGGAAAGATCTTTCCAAGTTTCATTAAGGCGCCAAAGTGCTCTTTAAATATTTTATAACGAGCCCTGATCAACTGTGATAAATTTCGAATCAGTTAATCAGAAAAGTTGAAAACAAATTTTAACCTCGGAAAGTAAAAAAATTACCATTTCATCGTAATCGGTAACTCGTTCCTCAATTAATTCGCCTTGATGAGTTCGCCGAACCATGGCGTTGTGATCTTTGATTTGTTTTCCGCGCATTAATTGACGTTCTACTGATACATCCTCATCTACATATAAGACGCAGATTCGGAATGTAGGTCGTCTAAATCCATGGTTGCAAATTAATTAGCAAGTAACAAATAAAAAAAAAATGGCGTTAATGAGTTACTCACGGGAATTTCTCTCTCAATGGTGTCTCCCAAAATTCCCGGCGTAACTCATGCATTTTGTCATACAAGAGTTTTAAACATTCGACTTGAATTTCCGTTCTGGGAAATCCGTCAACGAGGCATCCCACCGTTGGATCACAATTGAGAAGCGCTCGAAACAAACTCTCGAGGACTTTTCCATCGCCTGAAGATGAATAGATAAGAATTTTAACTAATATCAAATATATTTTAAATAATTCTAATTCATAATAATATAATCACTCACTGATCATTTGCCCTTTATTGATTAACTCTTGACAATCTGGGGATGTTAAAAGCTTTGACATACTTATGGCCGGATTTGTGATTCCACGTGTTTTCAATAATGAATTTGTGTGCGTGCCCTATTAATACATAATAATCTTTAAATTTAACTCGAAAAAAAAGAGTAAAATCCGATCGGATTTACCTTCCCTGATCCTGGCGCTCCCATCAACCATATAATCTCCCTCGGTAGACTGATTTTAAATACAATTCGATAAACTTGATAATGCACGCGTTAATTGATAATTGACAAAAGTTACACTCACAAGAGGTTTTCCCGTCCGTATGCATCCTCGACATTCTTCCAAGATTGGTTGAAAATCAACTTTGCATTCTTAATTTCATTTACTCTAAATCAATTGAATCATTAAGATCAGCAAAAGTCTCATTCATTTTTAAATCATTTCTTTATACCTTTGGACTTCTTCAGTTTCCTGAGAAGAAATTATCTCGGAAGCAATTTCCGGTGAACTTACTGGTCCTGAAGGGGAGAAAAAATAATTTAAAATGCAAATAGATTTTCAAAACAAAAATATTTTCACATTACCTTGCAAAGGAAATGTTGGAATTGGCAAATATCTGGCAGAATTTGCATGAGGTTGAAATTTTGAAAATTCCGCGCTTGGAGGAAATGCGCTAAGACTTGACGTTGAAATTCCTCGGGAAATTTCAAAATTTTGAATTTTTATGCATGAAATGTTTTCAAAGACGTTCAAAAAATTTGAATTTTTGTTTTTGTGAAGAAAGGATTTCGGATTTGAAGTTGAAAATATTGAAAATTTTGAATATAGACAATGATTTTTTGGAATGGAAATTGTTTTCTGAACGGAAAGAAAATTTTTCGTCCTCGAAGCATTTTGAAAAGTTCTTGTTTTAATGGGTGACAAAAAAATCGTCATTTTTGGTTTGGAAACTTCTTTCAAAGATCGAACTCAAAAATTTTCAAAATTCGACTTTACGAGGGTTGAAAAATTTGAAAAAGACGACAAAATGAAAGAAAGACTTGAGATTTTTTTGCAAAACGAATTTCAAAGCTTTTTTATTTGAAGAAATTTTTGAAAAGTTTTCAATACATGAAACGTTCACGTTCATGCAAAATGCACTCATTGCACCATTAAAATTTTGATAATGTGTGCAAAAAAAAAAAACAGCTAATCTATTTTATTACGTAATCGAACATTTTGAAATGTGATTATCAATTATATAGAATTATTTTTTGCCTCCTGTCGCAATTTGTCGCAATTCTTGTTTGAAAATTTTCGCTTCCTTTGGCATTTTCTTGCCTTTTTAATTCTTGATTCCATTGTGGAAGTTGTTGAGGATTGATTGATACATTAAGTGGATCATCATAATAAATTTTTTAAAAAAGTGTCCTTGAAACACATCAATGCTAAGTCGGCCATACGTATTTAAGATGGATTCATATATTTTTGGAGAGAGGATAAGGGATTTCCTTCTATGATCTAAATTCGAAATATCATCTACATTTTCGTTATTAAAATGTTACTCAACAATTTGAAGGATTCTAATAATGATATTGTCGAAGCAAGAGATTGGTAATAATGACATTTGCTATTGAGCTTTCCACCTTCGAGTAAATTTATAAATAAATCATCAAGGCAAATTGTTTGTCCATGTTTCTCAGAGTTGTTGTTGTACCAAGCGAACTCCTTCAGCACCGAATTGATTCAGTCGTCCTTATAAAAGTGGGGCCTTACCCTTGGGTTTTTCGGTTTTAGTATATGGATCTTTTTGCGATGTTAGACCATTCTTTGCAGCTTAAATATGGTTATGTAATCGTAGTCATATTTAAAAAATCGACTTTAAATAGATTTTTCGAGGACAAATGGTATTTTTTGATTTTTTGGTTACATTTTTATTTTATCAAGTTGGTATGAAAAAGGTGATTCGAATTTCGACCATTTATATATAAAAAAAGGAGGGTCTTATTTTTACAAGTTCGTGGGCGTAACTCCACATGCAGATTTCATTTGATTTAGTTCAGCCATTCAAGTTATCGTAAGTTTTTTATTCATTGTTTTATGATTTTAGAACTTTCTGAAAGAAAATTAAATGACGCTATTTCATTTATATTGGGTTTAGGGAAAAGGTTTAATGCCTCATTTAATAAATTGATAGTGTCATGAGGTAGTACGTAAAATCAAATCTTAAAAAAAGCCATTGGCCTTTGTTGGGCTTCATGACATATATTTAAAAGTTTATTAATTGATTATGAAAACCTAATATAAAAAAGATATATATTTATCTTTAATAATTGATACAATCATGACGTTTTAATTTAATCGTTAACTTTTTAATGCATTATTCTTTTAAGATGTATTTCTAAATAAAAAGTAATCCTTTGGCCGGAATTATGACATTAAGAAATTAATCATGTGACGAATAAGGGGCCTGACAAATAGGATTTTGAAAATTCCAAGTTCTCAGAATATTTAATAAAAACTATTATGTGATTACAAAATTTTACTAGTTTTGTCTAAATTATAGTTCTAGCTTGCATAATTTTAAAATATTTTAAAATAATCTTTGATATTATATCAAGTTACAAATCAAAAAGAAAAAAAAAAAAAAAAAAAATAACTAAAGTAATACATAATAAAATTAGAGATGTATATAAACTTTGAAATAAACTGATCAAATTGTATTTAGCAGTTTATAGTTATCCTTTTTTATAATAAATTTGATTTTCTATATGTATATTTAATATTATATTTAATATATCAACTATATTAATATATTAAATATATTTAATATATTATAGAGTTAAGAATTCATGAAAATATTATCATTTGACATTTTAAAGAAAAGAATCAAAAAAATTCAATTAAACAAAAGAATATAATGGATAAATATTTAACCAAAGACTAAATAACTTTTAAAAAAAGAAATCTTAAAGAGGAAATATGATATCATAAAATTAGCTTAAAAATAACAGAATTAACAGATTAATTAAAATAGAAATAACAGAAATATTAAAAAATAATAATAATAGAAATAATAATAATTATTGAAAACTTAGAAAGAATTTAATAAAAATTACAGAAAATTATAGAAATATTTGAAAGAAAAATAGGAAAATACAGAAATTATAGATAGAAATAGAAAATTAAGAAATTATAGAATCTACAAAAATAGAAAATCAAGAAATTATAGGATTTATAAAAATGATCTACATTAATCTATATATTTAAAAACATTGTTGATCATGAGATGTCATGTTTAGATTAGCCTACATAAATTAATCATAGAATTATAAAACATTATATAAACCTAAAAAGGCAATTTTGTCTCATATTAAAATTTAAGTTTGAGTCTTAAAATTAGTTATACAAGTTTTATTTAGATAATTAGGTAACGTCATGTGATTTACAAGAAATTATATTTTCATAGTGAAACAATCTATCTATATATTTAAAAGAGAAAATTTAACCTAGGCCTTGAGTTTAAGTTATTATCTTAGACCTCATATATAAATAAATATTTTTAATGTATTTATCACATGATAAGTACAGTTGTAGTCTAAGATAATACAAGATCCTCTGATTATATTATTAAGAACCTTATTGTATACTTTTAAGAAATTTTAAAAAGTTTCATTATACAGTTATACTAATTTCTTTTTAGATGATTATATATTATAACTTTTATCGTATATTTAATAGTCTACTAAAAAAAGATTCATTATATATCTACTTAATGACAAAAATAATTTGTCATATACTTATTTAATAATAGAAAAATTTTTCATTATATACTTTTAATCAAATTAAAAAATTATTATTATACATTTATCATATATTTTCTATAACAGATCAAATAATAACCTCAATGATATTTACATGATATATTATGTATTATATGTTATCTTCTAATAAAATTTAACATTAAAATTAAATTTATTTATTATATATATAAAAAAATTCTATCTCTATTATTATTGAAGAGATAATATTAATAGTATTGAAAATAGCATTATAAATCTGAAAAAATTATGAAAAATACAAAAAAACAGAATAAAAATAATGATAATAGTTATTAGTAGAATAATCGTATATATTACAGTTTAATTCAATAATTTAGATGATACATATTACTTAAATTTTAAATAAATATGGAATTTTTGTCATACAATATAAATTTTTTTTTGAAAATGTCATACATTTAAACCAAATTTTAATATATACTTTATCTATTTCTCAGATATAATTTATTATATAAAATTTTTTTGTAATTAGGGATCCTAATAATATCTTGAATCCAGAATACATTTTAAGGACGTCATATTTAAAAATGTTAACAGTTACAAGGTGTTATGTTTAGATTAACCTATATAAATTAATTATAGAATTATGAAATATTACATAAACCTAAAAAGGCAATTTTGTCTTTCAGTAAAATTTGAGTTCAAGTCTCAAAATCAGTTATATAAGTTTTTCTTTTCAGATAATTGTGTAATATCACATGATTTACAAGAAATTATATTTTCATAGTGAAACAATTGTGTATAAAATTATTGATTATTGATATACAGCATTAATATCTGAAGTGTAATTAATTATTGATGTAAATACAGTTCAATTCTTGATATAGCGAACTCTTAATATAACGAATTTTTGAATAAATATAATAAAAATACTCTTGTTATAGCGAATTGGTCAATAAAATCTCTTAAAATCTTCACTATAGCCTTATAGCAAAGTTGAGGTCTAAGACATAGAGTTCGTTATAACAAGAGTTTACTATAATAAGTATTTACTAATTTTATATAAAAAAAATAAATTTTAACTACATAAAAGAATGATCTTCTTAATCTTTTATTACCTTAATAATAAAATAATAAAAATTTGTAGTATTTTTAATAAGTCGAGTTGAGTTGAGTTTTGAGATAAAATTATTTTACATACCTTTAATTTAAAGTACTTATTTATTATATGTAACTAAAATTTATAATTATGCATAATCATGTGAGTCAAATATGCGAGTTTATGCAAGTCATTTTTAAAACTCTAAAAATTCATTCTTTTAATAATAAATGAACATTTATATTTGACAGTGAATACAAAAATATGTTAAATGATTATGATTAAATGAAACTATGTGAAAATGTATAGTGTTTTTAATGAATTGAGTCAAGTCAAATTTTGAGTCAAAATTATCCTACATATCTTTAATTTAAAGTACTTATTTATTATGTGTAACTAAAATTTACAATTATACACAATCATGCGAGTCAAATATACGAGTTTATGTGAGTCATTTTCAGAACTCTAGAAATGTATGTTTGATTAATTTGATTTATAGAAAAAATTTAGAAAACTTATGATAACAAAATAATCAAATAGAAGGTCTAATAATAAAGAATTATAATGAAAAATATGAAAAATTAAAAAAGAAGAATATAACTATTATAAAAATTAAGGAATTATAATTTAAAGAAAATAAAAACTATTATATTAATAAGAAATATAGATTCTATCAATAACAACAGAATAATTAAATAGAAAGTTCAACTAAATGAATTAATAAATATATTAAACCTTTAGATGATAAAGAAGATAAAGAAAAAGGAATAATTAATAGATAACAATATTAAAATAATAAAAATTAAAAATTAAAAGATTAAGAAACTAATGAATTAATTATTAGACAATTTGGATTAAACATTATAATAAGAAATAAGATTTTTGAACAAATAAAAAATTAATTTAGAAAAATAAATCCTCTTGAAAACAAGTGGCAAAAATAGTTCAAAAAAATACAGTATAAGTAGTATAAAATTGGGCTTTTTGGCAAAAAAAGCCCGAATGGCTTCAGAAAGTCATCCTGGGTATTACAAATTTCATATATCATATTTTACATATCAAATTCATAATGAAAT